GTTTCAAACAAACTAAACACTACAATCTCTAAGGATTTTCAAGACATGGTGGGGATTGAAGCACACTTGGAGAAAATGCAGTCTTTGCTACATTTTGATGATGAGGATGGAGCTATGATTGTTGGAATCTCTGGTCCTGCGGGAATTGGTAAAACTACCATTGCCAGAGCTTTACATAGCCGACTCTCTAGCAGTTTCCATCTTACTTGTTTTATGGAGAATGTTAGCGGAAGCTATAACAGGGGTCTTGACGATCATGGATTGAAGCTGAGTCTACAGGAGCAACTTCTTTCAAAGATTTTAAACCAAAATGGTATGAAGATATACCATTTAGGTGCTATACCGGAAAGGCTATGGGACCAAAAAGTTCTTATCATTCTTGATGATGTGGACGATCTAGAACAACTTGAGGCTTTGGCTAATGAAGCTAGTTGGTTTGGTCCTGGAAGCAAGATTATTGTAACCACGGAATATCAAGATCTTTTGAAGCAACATGGTATTAACAATACATACCATGTGGATTTTCCAACTAAAAAAGATGCTCGCAAGATCTTATGTAGATACGCTTTTAGACAGAGCTTAGCACCAGATGGATTTGAAAAGCTCGTCGAAAGAGCAACAGAGCTTTGCAGCAACCTTCCTTTAGGCCTCCGTGTCATTGGTTCAACTTTACGAAGAAAAAATAAAGATGACTGGGGAGCTATATTACGTAGGCTAGAAAATAGCATTGATCGAGATATCGAGGGAGTACTTAGAGTTGGATACGACAATTTACATAAGGACGATCAATTTCTATTTCTTCTCATTGCATTCTTCTTCAGTTACCAAGACGAGGATCATGTGATGGCTATGCTCAGTGAAAGTAACTTGGATGTCAGATTTGGATTGAATACCCTCGCCGATAGATCTCTCATACAAAAATCCACGGAAGGAAAAATTGTGATGCATAAATTACTACAACAAGCGGGTAGAGAAGCTGTTCAAAGACAAGATCAAGGGAAACGCCAAATCCTAATTGATACTGATGAGATTTGTGATGTCCTCGAAAATGATTCGGTAAGGTTTTTTTTTTTTTTAAATGTATCTGTTAAACCAAGTCATTTGGAAAACACTCACTTATCTTACTAATGGTGCTAACATTTGGAATCGTGTTTAGGGTAGTAGAAGTGTGAGGGGTATACACTTTGACATATCCACCATCTCAAACGGTGTGGATATAAGCGCAGGCGCATTAAAAAAACTGCGTAATCTTCAATTTCTCAGCATCTATAAGACAAGACGTGATATAAATGTTAGAGTGCATATAACTGAAGACATGGATTTTCCACCTTGTCTAAGGTTATTACATTGGGAGGTGTACCCAGGAAAGTGTCTTCCTCCTACATTTAGGCCCCATTATCTTGTGGAACTCAATTTGAAAAATACCAAACTAGAGAAGCTTTGGGAAGGGATCCAGGTAAGT